CAGGAAGAGTAATCAGGACGATGAAATCAAGTGCGAAATATAGCATTATAACCCGTTGGATTTAATCTATTTGAGCCTACAACATCATCTCAGTCACAAAATGCTAATCTGATAGGCTGGACACAGTTTCACATTGAAAATCTATTAGAAATCTTATATTGTTATTCAATCCTTTTCACAGGATGAAATAAATGATGACGAACCTTTTGCTTGTGATTCTACTTTCCTGTCACCTTTTGTCCTTCCCTCCTCCTTTTCTTCTGCTATCACTTTCTCCTTTCACAATAAAAGCACCAGACATCACAAGCCTTTAATGGCCCATCAAAAGATGAAAACATTTCTCTCACCTTGTTTGCTGTTACAGATTCTCTCCCACAGATACTGTTCTCAGATTTTCACAGTGCTATGTGTCCTCCTCATATTATGTCACTCATTTTAGACAGTATGAGCAAACTATTCTTCATGCAAAGCAAAGGTCAGTATTAAAACCTTCATTTGCCTTTATTTTACTGTTTTATCTCATTTTTGTTTCAGCACTTTTAAAATGGCGTAACTTTTAGCAAATTTTAATATTTTGTGTCCTAACATGACGTGTTAACTGTTTCTACCTTTATGTTGATTGATTAATGCCATCATGTGATAGATTTTTTGCGCAAAGTATGTCTACAAGTAGCTGAAGAACATTTGTTTTCTTTGTTGTGATCAGTTTTCATCTTCAAGAGCACCTTCAGACGACCTGTACTCACAGCAGGTGTAACACTGTTGGATTCACAGTCCATTCATTTTTGTATTTTAGAGCCGGCGTTCTTCTTGGTGAACTTGTTTGTGTTTTAGTATTGGCTGTCTTAACAAGGCTAATGGCCTCATAACTAATAAGATTAAGTGAGAGCAAATAAAGTGAAATGTTATTGCTCACCTTTGCCCAGAAAAAACACGCATGAAAATGAAACTGCCTAAAACAAATCAATGCTAAATTTATTGATTTGAGGATGAAAATGGATGAGAAGGAGGCTGTGATCTTTTTTTTTATTTCCGTCAATGCCATCTGATCCACCATGTTACATTCATATACATCAACACACAAACCCCCATCGATGCCATCCCCATCCCCTTCACCCTCTACTGGCAGGTTACCATGGAAACAGGCTCAGTATCCACCTCCTCCACAGTTATTCCTCACTTCCTGATTGTCTTTGGATGCCTGCATCCATCCACCCCTCCTCCTCTCTTCCATCCGTGTCCTCGCCTCCCTCCTCCCCGCCCCCACAGCCACAGCTAAAATGTCTATAAATTAGCAGCACTCAGAGGGAAATTGTTTACGTTACGTCATACCTTTGTTCCTACATTATTCAAAAAATCACGCTCATGCTCGCATCGCTGTCTGCCCTAGAAATTAAAACATGATTCATGAGTGTTTTGGGGGCAGGACTGATGCTGCAGATTAAACAGCATACACAAATTAAGATAAGATAAGATAAGATAAGATAAGATAACCTTTATTAGTCCCACACGTGGGAAATTTGTTTTGTCACAGCAGGAAGTGGACAGTGCAAAAGTTATGAGGCAAAAATTAGAATACAAATTAGCATTTAAATGAGGTCTTTCAGAATCATAAACAACATTCTGTGTGAATTTGTTTTCTTAAATCTCTATATTTTTGTTTGTGTTTTGAGCACTTATCTGTAACCAGAAAGAAATTCCAAGTTCTGAACTCAAAATATGGACTGATGTCCCATTTTTTGGAGGCTTGAGGTTGTCTTAGGTACGAAAAATCAAACACTAGCACAAGGAAAATCTCATTGCAGAACTGAGGGACACTGCACCCTCATATGCTAAAGACTGCCAGCATAAATTCACCAGGATAGTATTTAGTGATTTCTCTTATATACAGATTTTCTTTTGCATCTTATAGTGCTTCCGCAGTGGCGTCACACCTGTAAGCTACATCCATTTTCCATTTTCAGTTATTGATTGTAAGGAAGATTTATGCTGATCTTCTACCACTTAGCAAAGGACGATACATGTGCAACACGGTCTGAATACCTCAAGGAGTTTTACATTGTAAGGTAAAGACCATACAATGGTAATCTGTGAAGCTCACAGAGATTACTTCCACAAACACAGACCTCATTATTTGTAACCTTGTCCATGTTTAATACGAGCATCCAAATAAATGCACAAAATATTGTATCAGAAGTATCAGCAATAAAGCAGTTGAATGGATTTAACCTCCATTATACAATATGAACACAAGAAGCTTCAGAGCAGTTAAAGTCTATTTTTAGATATTTATATATACACATTAAAAACTGGGTCAGCTGCAGGCTGAGATACTGATAACTAAACATATAAAATGCTCCGTGTGTGTTTCTAAATGGCTTTAACCATTCCAAAAGCATCTGATATTAATTTGTAACTAGAAAATTGTTTCTTTTTGCCATTTCAAACCTTTACGTCTAACATAACTGAGTATTAAAGTGGCATGAGTGTTTACTCTGCTCCCTTAACTAAAACAATTCTAAAACCAGAATGTCAAGTTGTATTCGGCTCCAGTATCCTAAGGCTTCATTTTTGTAAACTAAATATTTCTGGGTTTTGGACTTCTGTTCGTATTTGCAGCCCCAGTGAGAGCTCAAGCATGCATTGAAAATGCCAAGAAATCTCAGGAATGTCCAAGTTTCCATTTGATTTGATGTGTGGAGATGTGCTGCACATTGGTGATATACACTTTACTTTTACACGGGTCAATGACTCTTCTTTGCTGTTGTACACTCACTGAGGGGGTTTAGCTGCGGTTCCTCCTTTCACATCAATAATACATTGATGGTTAGTCAGTCTGGCCCCCTGCTGTTTCCTCCTTTTACCCTTTAGGAAGTAATGAACCCAGTGACACTAAATTGTGCACACCTGACTGCACACAGCCTGCTAAATTTCTTTTTTATTTACTGTACAATTTGATAGAAACCACATGTCAAAGAAGAAGAAAAATGTGTTCAGTGAACATATGTTCGTGTTGATTCCTGGGTACAACAGGTGCTCCATCCTTGAGATGGCAACCTCTGGTTCTCATTTCTTTACTTGATCATGGGTTTAAAGAAGCTGCTGCTGGTGAAGCTCTTTGACAGACGACTGAATGAAGGAATGTTTGACTGAAGCCAGCTTGTGTGGCTTCAGCAGCACATGAGACATGTTTTTGAGTCCAAAAACAACCCGTGTGTCCAAGTTTCCATTGTTTAGAAGAAGCTTAATTTATCATTTTGATTCACAACAACAGGCAGAAGTCAGATTGTTTTTTACTTCCAAGACATTTTCAGACTCAGGGTGTGATTTCTCTGACTTTAGATGAGGAAAAATTTAAACACCGCCTCTTATTTTCACTTTTTGAGTCCCAAAGAAAGTGCCAACCAGGATTTCTAATGGTCACTTCCAAATTCCAGTGACCATTATTGGGTTTAAACCATATGTTGATGTGTCCAGGCCATTCTTGCCGTCTCCTCATTGGTGAAAGTGTTTGTTGTAAATATTGTTTATATATTTTACTCCTTACATATGCTGTTTAAACTGCTGCCTGTAAAATGTTTTTATCGTATAACTGTTGAAGGCAATGTGGCAAATAGTGTCAGTCGACCATAGGAGTTGCACTGTGTTCCACGGATGTTGCTGGAAGTTCGTTTCAACGCAGTTTTCTTTCATATCATATAGCACCAAATCACAACCACAGTTGCCTCCAGGCAAATGCATCCTCCTGTGAGTTTAGGCAGCAGCAGCTGTTTTTATAGGTTCCACCACGTTAAGACTATTTCTTGCACTTTCAGTGAAGCAGTTTTTCTAATAAAATAACCTTTTGTTTGGAAAACTGAAGCTAAATACTGTCACACTGGTGCACATGACCACCAGTATAAATATTCCACGAGGATTAATATAAAATTATTTATATGTATGTAAGTTAAGGTTAATTATTTACTTAACCTTAACTTAATAAACAATTGCTTAAGTTTCATTTTTACTTCATGTCTTCTTAATAAAATGTGTCTTTGTGAGGCACCAGTCTTTTTGAAAAAAGTGCCACCTAAAAAAACACTAATTCACCTCAGTGGAGGCCAGATTTTAGTCTGCAGTATCGACTGGTTCACCCCATCCTGATGCATGAACTGCATTTTCATAGATGCCAAATGGCACAATGAGATGCATTAGTTGAAAGTTGTTTTGTGTTAAACTATCTTCATGGCAAAGCTTAAACTTACATGGTATTATTTATTTAATGAACTCTACACCGCTCTAAAAAGGTCACATTTTTGACACAAACTATTCATGAATCTAATATGAATCCAGGATGATCAGATGTCCCTCTTCATGTGTGACTGCACAGCATTTTTATTTATTGTCCCCTTGTCCTGAGACAATGGCTGACGTTTTGACTCTGCAGAACATGTGCTTTTCTAAATTCTGTGAAGAGAAGGCTTTGTTTTGTATTTAAATAAAGATTAGCCTGTCTTAAGATGTGACCATCAGTGAAAGTTCCAAGTCACCAAAAAGCAACAAGCTTTGTAGATTTTGCTAAATATCATGGAAACTGCCACAAAGAAAATTAAGATGCAGTTTATACTGAGAAATAGAGCGTTTGGCTGTTGTGTTAGAGTTTTGCACAGTATATTTATGTCATCATGGGCAAAAAATTGCAAACAAATTGTTAAAATGGATGCATCTCTACTGAAACACTAAGACCACACAGAGGAGGCGCTGAAATAACAGAGGATACAGGAGCATATAAAGACTATTATATTAGACCACTTCGGCCTTGTTTAATTCTTATTTACTTGACAAAAGACCTGGAATATTTGCACGTTAATGTAATATATTTGACGTCCTGCCAGCATTGTTTGTCCCAGACAAAACGTCGTGTTTGTCCCACATTTAGTTTGCTGGGATCTGGTCACCATCCGCCCATCCGTGTTTGTTTGTTGAATTAAAATCCCAGTAAAATAATTCTGACAGTGTGACATGCCTCGTGTTCTTCATTTTAATTACATTAGTTTTTAAGACATTTCATTTAAATTAGACACTGCAGGGGGACAGATAAATGATGGGAGGCAACAGGAATGACAACGGTCATCATTCAGGTCTTGAGCACCTCGTCTGACCAACAACAGTACACATCGTATATTCTTATTTTTGTGTGTGTACTCATTTCAAAAAGCCAACACTGACATAAACTCTCTGACGATGAAGTCCAACTTCTACATAGAAAACAGACCAAAACTGCTTTGAAAAATCCAGAATACACGAAACCTTCACCTTTAAATCTGCAGTGGTCATGACTAGAAACACAAACAGGCAATCATACGGCGCTTTGTACACAACAGACACACACAAACACACAGACACACACACACACAACAGTCTGGGCAGTTCAGCACTGCAGCCAGCTGTTTTCAGAGATGATCTGACATGCAAAAGAGGAAAGGGCTCTGCCGGAGGAGGAACTGGAGGAACTGATTTATACAGAGTTTCTGAGGTTCATATGGTCATGTAGTTTCCTGCCAGAAGATCATTTCCATGAAGTCTGTCAGCTTTCAGCAGAGGTGGTGGTGGTGTGTTTGTGTCCCAGCAGTGGGCCTCACTGAGAAGTCTGTAAGGCGGCCACTGGCCAAAAGAGGAAGTTGATGTTGAGAGATCAAATAAATAATAATAATAATAATGGCAATAAAAAAAAGCTCTCTTCATTAAAGCTTTACTGTGCCGCTGCGGGTGTGGCAGTGTGACATGCTGCCAAGGACACATTAGAAGGGGAGGAAGTCATGGATTTTGGAGTGTGACACCTGAAAAAACAAAAAACAAAAGTTGTATAATATATGTATAATATGTACAATCACAGATTATTGAGATTATGCAGCTGAGAAAATGACAGATAAACCATCAGATTAGGGCAAGAGGGTGTGGCTAATCCTGAATAATCCCATTTACTGTAGAGATGCTCTGATGCTAAACCATTTACAGTTCACAGGTCACATGCACAGGCTGAACAGTGGAAGCGGGTTTCAAACACAAATATGACAAAGTATTCTCAGCTCTATTTCCAGATGTAGAAACATCTGAGCAGCAGCAGCAGCAACGTGCAGTAAGTGTATGCCAATAAAGAAAGACAACATCTGTTTTATTTATATGAGAAGAGGCTGCATTAATTTGACCTCACCAAGACTGGGACTTTCGAACGCCTTTCTCCTTGGTGGGCGAGCTGTCCACCGAGGGACTTTGGTTCGGTTCTCCATCCTTTGAGCAATCGACTGAGGCGGTGTTTGGAGGAGTCATGTCCAGCTCCAGAAACATGATGTTCTCAGCCTGAACACATTATGAAAACATTACCTACAGTTAGTAACACATTATATGGATCAAAGTATTGAAAAAAAGTGTTTTCAGCCCCTTAACAACAGGTGTATAAAATCAAGAAACTAGCCGTTCAATCTGCCTTTATAAACATTTGTTATTGCAAAGAAACTTTGACCATGGTACTTTAATAGGATGCCCCCACTGCAACAAGTCAGTACTTAATTGCAGAGAAAGCTGCTCTGGCATTAACATCAGCACAAAAACTGCTTGCTGGGAGGTTCATTCAATGGCTAAGTAGCTCTCGGTGACTTTTACTGAATGCTGTGTTACTCTAGTAAAAGCTGAGTCCATTAATTTCATAGCAAATGCTTTAATAAAGTATGGTGCATTTTTATAGTTAAGGGTTTTTTATAAGCAAAGCAACAAAAAAAAAAAGAAAGTAATGTCATGATCCTGAGATCGTCATGATATTTTTGCCACTTGGATTCTAGTTCCTTCAATTTCCAGTGCCTTAAGATTCCAGTATGTTTTTTATTGTTCATGTTTAGTGTTGGTTTTTATATTTCAATGAGTCTTAAGTCTGACTTTGACCTTGACAGATGGTAAAAATACCATTACTAGGAAATATTCAAAACTATAAGAGTAAATCACGCCTGAAAGCTTTAAAACTGAAAAACTGATATTTAGTCTTTCAGGATCCAAAAGGACAAATTAAACAGAATATAAACTGACTGACCTATAATGGAAATAAAAATTTACATAATTAATTAAATAACATTCAGAATAAAGATTTATGAAAAAACAAAAAAAACAAAACCATACTTCTTTACATTAAAATTTAATGATTTATATTTGTGGGCTTGTTTTATGTCCTCAAAAGGATGCCAAGTCATCACACACACAGACACTTACCCTGTATCTGGAATGACCTCCCATTGCTATGGCAACCCTGGCATACTGGCTGATGGGTCGTTTGTATCCGACTGCAGATGCTGGCCTTTTCTTCATCTGCGAGGATTTACTGAACGGAAGAAAAGTCGGGATCAATGAGACACACAAAAACCCAATCTGGAATCAATTCTCAAAACACCAAAAAAGCCAGAAAAAGGAGGATGCCACTCAAACAGCAGCGGAAGAAGATGAAAAGAAGAGATAATCATATGATGCACGGCGCCCAGAGATCTAAACTAAAGCCTGACTAAATTTAAGAGTTTATTCTTTTACATCGAAAACAGACGCTGACCTTTCAGCAGGAACAAGTGACTGGAACTTCCACTGGTCTTCCTCAGGGTCAAAGACCAGCCTGTTCATTATCTTATTCTTCTCCTCGGGCGGGATGAAGTTCTCTATGATCAGATACCTGCGTGTTCACAACACAGAGTGATGCAAGAAGTAATGGTTTATATCATATACAAGTCTGGAGTCATGTGGTTGTAATAGCAAATGCACTATGAGTAAGATTTTAGGGGTTTATTTGTATACTTTTCACATTTTAAACAGAAAAAATGATTTTCTTTGAATTTGTAAAGTCTTTTTTACTCATAAACACTAAACCTCCTGATAAATGAACTCTTGATTAGAAGCTTTTTTATGGGTTTAGCTGTTTCTTCAAATCAACATAACTTAGCTATTTAACTGGCTGCACAAAAACAAGTTTAAAAGAAAAGATTAACAAATATTTTATGGTCTTATTACAATACTATTACAAAGCACTTTCACTGCTTAGAGAAATTTTAAAAAAGGAAAAGAAGAAAGAGCATCTGGCTATCACAGCTGCTAGCAGGGCTCTTTTTGGAAAGCATAATGAGACATGTAGACTTCTGACAATGAAGAAAGGTTTACGCAGCAGGGGAGCAAACAAAAAGAAGAAAAAAACTGTTAACAAAACTGTAAAAGTACTGAGTTTGGCAAAAAAAAAGACCACTACCTCTGCAAGAACAGATTTCAAGTAAAAGCATTTCTTAACTGCTTACCTTGCAGCCGTACTTTTGCATAGAATAAAAGACAACCGGTAAAAGCCTAACACAAGTTTTTATTTAGTGTAAACACTCAGTCTGCAAAGGAAGTAACTATTTAAATGAGGGATGTCACAGTCATTTTACATCAATGGCCACGTACAGCCCATTTTGATGATGAGACGAGTGAAACTGCCATTTCTATCACTCTAAAGATGTTTAATTATACGTTTAATCCCTGAGATATTTTTAACATAAGATAAAGAGGCGCAATTTCTACATGATACATGTATAAAATTACTGTCCTGTAGTTAGTTAGGGGTTTTTTTTGATGATGAATGAAAATTTTCTTTTTGTTTTTTAACCAAAATTTTCATATTGCAGAGTAAAAAACAGGAACTTTTCTGTCATTTAATTGTTTATCTATTACTTAACTATTTTGGTGTATTATGAGTGACTGTGAAGTCTGCGGACCAGAATGGGGTCTTTGCCAGGCCAATGCTGGCCCCCTGGCCTTATGTTTGATCTTTAAATGGGGCGTATTGCTTTGAAGAATCCCGTACTGTATGTGGCGATTTTTGAGCACTCTTTGTGATTTGTGGTTGACTCACTTGAACTTGAGCTCTCTGGTGAGCTCGTTCTGAGTTTGCTCAAGCTCCTGTCTGCTCCTCACGTGCTCGTCGTTCACGTCCTTGATCTCTACTTTGATTGCCTGGAGCTTGGCGTACAGCTGGAAGAAACGACAAAGACATGCAAGCGAGAGGAGCAATCAGGCCTGAGGTTCCCAGTGAAGATGGACTGGTCTACAACTTGCTGCAGCTCGGTTGCCCATAGCAACAGCACTGGAGGCGCTGGTGTCTGGTGAACAGGCCAGCCAATGGGAGCTCTCCTCCTCTAATTCCTCCTCCTGGTTCCTCCTGAGATTTCACACTGTTCATTCTTTGACTTCACCCGAGGCTTCAAACATAAAGGCGAATCCTGACTTCAGCTGTGAATCATGACACTGCAGGCTCTGCAGCTCGGACACGCAGAGCAACCCCCCCCCAAAAAAGTCAAATCAATAAGAAGCATCTGGGGCAAATCTCAATTTTAGGACAGATTTTCACAGATGCTAGCTTAAAAAATTCAAATACCTTTAAAAACCGCCAGAAATTGGATTTGACAGTTAAATTTAGACTTCAAAGCTGAAGCCTTAATGTTACATTACAGAAAGGTACTCCCACTCTCTTCTTATGCTAAGAAAAATGTGGCTAAAAGTGCTTTTATCACTGAATTCTGGTCCCTGTTGGTTTTGCAGTGTTTCTGTCTTTCCCAGTCTCCATCCTGATTTTTAGTGTTAGCTGTAATATCCCCGGAAGTTTGTTTTTCCTGCTGTTCCTCTAGCCTTTTTGCTTCAGTGCTAACTAGGTTTCACCTTTTATCATTTAGTTTTGTTGACTTATCAGCTTTGGAGTAAAGCTTGCTCTTTGCTTTATGTCATGCACTTGTATGCAGTTGCTTCCACCTCTCTGCTAAACCATGATAATATGTCCTTTTGTCCCTGAAAATCTCTTTAAGCTTGAAATTACTTTGATTTCAGTGAATTGCTTCAGTTAACACAACAAACTGTGACACATGTTCCTAAGGAAAAATGTGTATTCCTCATCCAGTGAATGCTCAGGTCGCTAGCATATTGCTACTGTTTGAACAGCAGTGAGAGCACTGTCCAGCTACTCTCCAAGCTGCAGTTAAATTAAGAACATGGAGAACGTTCACCTTCAAAATAAAAGCTGTGCCTCAACGCTACAGCCAGCATTTTTAAAAAGGCAAACCTTTTTACTTTTTCAAGTTTTACTACTGCTGGGTGAGTATCAGCGAGTATTTGTAGACAAACATGAAAAACTACAGGTAACCGTAGCAATCTTTTTTTCTTTTTTTTACATTAGCTACAATCATTACTCCAACTTAACATTTAACATGATCAACTTCTCAGTTGATCATTAAATAATGACTTTGGAAGGAAAAAAAATTATCATTGGCTATTTTGAGAAATAGAATTCTGCAGTAGTGTTTTTTTTTTTCTTTTCCAGCAAACAAGGTGTCAGTGACATTTTTGTAGTCACTGAGCTTTACGGACTGCCCACTGAGTTTTGAATGCACAGCGTGAAAAACACCCCCTCTTTTCTTCAGACTGACGGCATCATGCAGTGTGAGAGGAGTAGATGGACCCACGTTTGGGAATCAGGGCAGCAAAGATCAGCAAAGGATCATTAGCTACATTGTCGCCCGCACTCGCACAACGGGCCACTCGGTGTTAGTCCTGCTGGTCGCATCCGTGCAGCGAGATAGGGACGCGGAAAGAGAGGGGAAGGATGTAATAGGTTCGGTGTTTGCACTGGTGAGGGAGAGGTTTAGTGAGTTACTGGGGGATTTGAAGTGAAGGAAGACTGAGGTTAGTGCAGAAAGCATGAATACGTAAAAATGGCAGATAGGGAGGGAGGGAGGGAAAGGGACGGCAGGACAAACCTTGAGGTACTGAAATTTAAGTGTGTGTCCGAACGAAGCGAGTGTCCAAGTCAAGGGGTCATTTGTGATCCAGGTCAAAGGTCAAAGGGAAAGAAGGGGGTAAAGAGGGACATTCTCACATTAGGAACAAAAAGGGAAGGTCTGTAAGTGTGTGCACGTTAAAACACACCTATACTACTATGTCTATTACCTCTTTTGCAAAAGTGTGTGCGAGAGTAGAAATGAGGATATCTACTGTATTTCTACTTGTGTGCATCAGATTTTTTTCTGCATCATCAGGATATTTTACCTTCTTGAGTTTCTTTGTCTTGGCTTCAACCTCCTGCTGCAGAGAAGTGAAAGTCTCTCTCAGTTCCAGCGTCTCTTCATCCTGAATCAACACTTGCTGCTGGATCTCGCGCTCCTTACGCGTCTGAAAGCAGAATGCAAATATCACCCTGTTCCTTTGTGGATTCTCCACAGCTCTGGAGTGTTTTTATCAATTCAGGCTGCAGAAAACACTAATTACTGTAAATGTTAAACAAACTGCTGCAGAAAAGATTTCTCCTAAGGTTTTAAATGTATGCCTGAAGTATGAACTGTGCAGCTGTACTGAGTAAATTAGTGTACTACTGCAAAAAAAACGCTTTACCTGCTCTGCTATCTCCTGCCGTTTTATCTCCAGCATCTTCTGCTGCTCATTGGTGTGATCTATGATGTTCTTTCCACCGACCAGCAGCTTGCTCTCCATCGCCTGAAAAAACAAACAACATTTTGATTAATATTTCTGAAGCTACTTTATTATATGCTTTATATTCTCCGTCAAATGCCACACATCCTGCAGGGTTCTGTATTTAATGTCACATCAAAAAGTCACTATACAGCTAAAGTTTAAACAAGCACACTGTTAAAAATGAAAGTGGAAAAACAGTTTTTGCTATTAAACATCATTAGAAAAACATCCTCAATAGTAATAAATAATGTGTATTTATTCCTATAAATACAGCAGCATGGCGGTTAGCACTGTTGCCTCATAGCAAGAAGGTCCTGAGTTCAACACCACCATTTGAAGCCTTTCAGTGTGGAGTTTGCACGTTCTCCCTCTGTTCACGTGGTTTCTCTCCAGGTACTCCAGCTTTCTCCCAGTTTCCATAGGTTAATCTAAATCATAGGTGTGAATTTGAAGGTAAATGATTCACTGTCTCTATGTGTTGGCTTGGTGACAACTAGTAACCTTTCCAGGGTGTACTTTTCCTCCCTCCCTATGGTGGCTGAAAGTTGCTCAAGCCCCCTGCGACACTGAAGAGGATGGATAAATAATGTGTTCAAAAGGGGTAAGAAGCTTACATTTAAGCAGCATTTAATGTGCCTCTAGATCACTGTTTATACTCAGTAACAGCTAATGCCAACTACTAATTATGTTAATTGCTTGCTGTAAATTGATACTAACTGGATCACAGTAGATCTGTGTTTTCCTTATTATTACTTTTGTGGTGCTCTTTTAACATTTGCCCAAACAATACAACACAAAACAATAGTGTATATTAGCAGGTATAAACCCCGTTATTAATATAAATCAAAGGCTTAATATAGAAATTTCAGCTGACGTCAACCCTTGCTGACAAAAATTGAACGCTAATGGAAAAGAAGAACTAGAGAGTTTTACTTCTTTGCTTTTGAACCTCTGCGAGGTCAAGATAAGTTCATCTGGACATTAAACAATTGGGTCTTTGTGCGTGTTCGTCAGTGCAGACTTTGTGCTGATGAGGCAGACGGACGCTGGCAGCTTAGCATCGACATGACGACACGCGACAACAAGCTGAGCTCTGCTGAAACTCTGCAGAATCACAAACCGTGTCAAAGTAAAGCAGTGCAAAGTTACAGTGTAAAATATGTTGGCACCTTCTTGTTGATTTTCTAAAGGTAATGATGAGCGATAACCACTTTAATGTATTTAGCAAAGGCATTCATTAAGATTAACATCTCCTTTTCAGGGGTTACCTGGCCAAGAAAGCACAATAAAGCTGACTTTGACTATCCTCTAGTGCCATTGATGGTTACATGTCCTCCTACAATTGCACACGTATTGAGCTTCTCCCAGTCAGACTAACGCTTCTTTTGGAGTCTTGTTTCCAACCCAAACAACCACAGTGACTCGTTTGCAGACCTGTGAAAGCCTTTGAGACAAGAAATAAGGTGAACATGCCAAATCTGTCTTCATTTTAGTTCAATGTTGTGCAAATGCCAGAATGCAATGCAAATGAATGCGTCAGATCTAGTTTTTCAACCACAGATGGATGGACTTGATATTTTGTGCACATACTCATACCCCCATTAGGATTCATTGTAATAGCTCTGTTGATCTCTTAAGCTTTGATCTTAACCAACAATAATTAATAATGCCTGCACACTGCTTTGTTGTAACGTTTGTACAGGGACAGTGTCATGGCCCTGGTATTCTGTAGTTTTTGTTGTTGTTCCTAGTTGATCCAGGAGTCGGTGCTCCCCGGTCTCTGGTGTTATTCTTACTTCAGTGTATTCTTCATGTTGCAGCGTCAGTTATGTCTTTTAGTTACTTCTTATTTTACTTTGAAGGTTTTTTTCTCTTGTGTCTTCTTTTGGTTTTATTTCCTGCTCCTTTCCTTGCCCTCCTTACTTTTATTGCTTTAATTTCTACTTTTTCTTATATGAGAATATGTAAGTTACAAGTATCATGTATGTCTTTACTTGACTGTTCCAAACTCAATATCATTTCGAGCCTCTGATTACAGCTTTTCTAGTTACTGCAGAGATTAAAGGTCTGGAGTCACAGTGATGCAATTTTCAAGTTATGAAAATTGCACATGTTCTTGTCATTATCTGCCTCCTTGCTCTAAAGGACGATTTAAGTAACAAGGAAATACAGGAAGAGAGGAAAACGGAAATAAGCTCCCACAGACAGACAATGCATTGGTCACATTCCAGATTACAAAAAGACAGTGTGTGCATGTGGCAACTCTGTGCAGGCTATATGGTTTTTGCTCTCCAATGGGTTGTATGGGTGAGCACGAAAACACACTCTTACACCCAAGCAGAGGACAGTGGAGTCCTTCAGAGGGGATGCGTCTGCAGCAGGTTTCCACAGAAAGCCTCTTTGTTTTGAGCTGTCTTTGTGTTTGCTGCGTGAATGTGTCCGTGAGCGACCGGTTCGCTGTGCTTTGTGTTCTGTCATATTCTTTCAGCTTCATTAAAGGACTGATTCATGTCAGGGATTTTCCCTCTCATGCATTCTATGTCTGCCCTCCCTGACAGGCTAGCTGGATCCCTTACACACAGTCTTTACGATGTGAAACGTCGGTGACTTAAACGGCCACTTGACATTTTGGATTTAACTCAAAGTTTGAGTCTGTCTCATTCATCACGCACTAATCTTGTAAAGCAAAATCACGTTTTAGCTTGATTCAAAATTGCAAAAACATTTAAATCTAAATCCAGAACCGTCAAAGTGCTTCCCACGGGTGCTTGCACATTTCATTCATCCGCAGTTCACACTGATATATTACATACTTGCCCAGGCAGCATTTCTCTCCATTAGCAACCCTTCTCCTCTCCCAATAATTACACACTAAGCCTTCTTAACTTTAACAAATACAGCTGGTGGCAACAAATTTTAGAGCCACCTTACTAACAATTAAAAAAATACTGGTGCCAGTGTTCAGTCTCCTAGCAGATGCACCTGTGGTATGGATTTGAAAACTCTGCGTCACCTCATTCTCGAGTTATTGCATTCACAAAGTCAAGACAAAAATAGAAATTACTGTGCTCTGTACAGACACGTGACAAGCACTGATGAAAGTGTTTAATGTGTTCCTCTTTATGCCTGAGCAGAGACTAATCACACGCTGGCCCTCATTCATAAATATTTTTCAGTAAAATCTCCATTTAAAATGGTTCATTATAATCGTCCCTTTAATTGTGCCAGTTGTTTCTAACAGTTTTTAAAATCTCCCAGAAAACTTGAAACTCAGTTTACTGCAGTAACTGACAAAAGAAAAGGAGTAAATTAATGAGACTGGATGGTGAGGGCTGCAGGACTTGAGAGGGTTCAGAAGTTACCGTCAGATAATTAAGTAACAAAAGCTACCTGTTTTCTGCTTATTAGCCCAATACAAGTGAGTTTTTCACACTGGAAGGCACGCTTTACAATTGGGCGCTGGGGGGAGGGGTTTGTGGCAAATTGTTGTCTGCTGATTATAAAAAGCTCCACTGTGAGCCTCAGTGGGTTCATAAAACTGTGTCAAACCCCAATTACACCCATTCACAGATCTAACAGATATAACAACATCCAATTAAATTGGAACAATGTTGGTGTATACTGCGCATAAATGCGCCTTAAATCAAAATAACATTTAAAGCACAGAAAAAAATGAGTGTCGCACTGGGACGAGAACAATATTTCCATCAGCTGTTATGATGAAAATGAAGAAAACAGTGCAGCGGCATCCTTTATGTGAACTTAAGAAAGCATTTCTACCAATAAGACCTACAGTGCTGTGAAAAAGTATTTGGTCTCTTCCTGATTTTTTTGTTCTTTTGCATTTTTCTCACATTTAAGTTTCAGATCATCAAACTAACTTTAATACTAGACAGAAATAAATCTAAAATGCAGTTTTTAAATGATTAATGATGAATTCAATGTGGTTAACCACATGTTTTAGTTCAGTTTTACGAGCCACACTCAGGACTGATTACTGCCAGACCTGCTGAATCAAGAAGTCACTTCAATAGAACTTGTCTGACAAAGTAAAGTCAGACAGACATCATGCAACAATCCAGAGAAACCCAAGAACAGATGACAAACAAAGTTACTGACATCTATCAGTCTGGAAAGGGCTACAAAGCCATTTCTAAGGCTTTAGAACTCCAGTAAAAACTGGTGAGAGCCATTATCCACAAATGGAGAAAACAGTGGTGAACGTTCCCAGGAGTGACCTGCCTAAGAAAACCAAAGGTGATGCTGTCTTCACTTTTGTCACAAGCAGGTGACCTGTAGAGACTTGAAAGCAAAACAATCCCGTCATTATCTTCTGACCAAACTTTTCAATCTTTGCAATATACATGTTCAATAAATAAATTCAATACATTTAAACGCTAAGAAAGAAAAGTCATGGTTATGGTTAAAAGGACTTTTAAATCTTCGAGTTAACTTTTCTGATTAAAGCTGATACAAAGAAGGCAGGAAAACAGGAAGAGGTCGTGGGGAGGAGGACGATGACTCAGGGTGGAAGCCAAATGACCTTCACTCAGATGACTGTCGACTCACTGGAGTCATGATTCTGTTTCCAGACATCCAGGCAGATCAAGGTTTCAGTCTCACACACAAAGCCTTTCCATCACTTTAAAGGACATCATTTTGACTTACACTCCTTTTATGATTTATCCAAACCATAATCAATAACAATATGTGCCAAACCTTAGTCACAACCTAACCTTATACTAATCTTGAGTCAAATCTTGGTCCTAAAATTAAATGATGATAAACAAAGATTCCGATTTTTGTCCCTGCAACACGAGTAGTACAAGTAAACACACGCAGCTCAGTTAAGGTTAATGTAAGCATGCTATGTTGGCCAACAAGATACGACTATAAATGACTTTTATCATAAATAGCTAGTGCTAAACAAGGCTTAAGCAAAATATACTGGAGAAACTGAACAGCAGCTTGATACAGTAGACTCTCTTTCAGTACAATTTAATGCTAAACAAGACAAAACA